ATTTAAACCCTCCATGAGGACGGCAATGAAACGAGACCAGTTTTCTTTCTATATGTGTGCCAGCTTCTGACAGATCAATGTGTACCCTAAACTGATCCTGAAACCTGAGCCCGTCAGCCCAGAGGGGCAGAGAGGAGCGGGGAGAAGGCGGGGTCTCTGGGGACTTCACTGTTTGCCTGACTATGTGCACAACCTGCATTTGCTTTGGCTGCTGCTAAGCAGACCAGGACACACAATTTAATGAAACTGACTGAGTGAGCAGAGAAAGGGACGTGCCAGGTCCACGAGTGATAATCCTACATCAAAAAAAAAAAATACATAAACACAGTGAGGTTTAAACTGTAAACTTAACAGTCCATTCCTCTGTTGCTTCTCCAAGCTGCAGTACACGCACGCACTGCAGGAGAAAAGTCTGAGAGCAACTGTTCTTTCTAAATCTGTCAGAAAACACACCCCTTGTGTCCATGTGAGCATGTGTCTGTGTGTCAGCATGCAGACAGCACTGCTGTTTAGGCCTCTCTTCATAAACTGGGCATCGCCTCCTTCATTTCCTATTCATCCTCCAGAGGCTTGATGCCTGGTTTCCATGAGTACCTAATAAAAAATGAATAACTCAAAAACACCAATAATGGAAACTGGGATGAAAGTTTCAGAGAGACCTCTGCACTGCAAATTACAGTACTTAATGCAGAGGCCGTGAGGATGACAGCTAGGAGGAATCAATTAACCTTATCCTGTATGTAAAGCAGGTAGCTAGCTACAAGCGCCAGAGACAGCAACGTCTAGACACTGAAAGGTTATTAAAGAACAACAGAGCATAAACAAAAGGTTTTAATATCAGTGTTTTCTGTTTATTTTATTATAAAGTTAGCTCAAGCACGCCATTTGAAAGTTACTGTGGAATGCAGAAGGCAGTAAAATCAAACCCAATATCTCAAGTTATTCCACGTCAATTACACCTTCTCTGCATCATTAGCTTGTAAATCACTGCGGTCATCAGTGGAAAGGGGAAAAAGACCCCATCTAATAAGCACAGGTTAAGCCCCAGCCCAAAGGCTGGTATGGATGAAATATTCAAAGACAAACACGATTACTGAATAGTTCTATGGATCTCTTTGGAGACATTTATAAAAATAAAAAAAAAAACAATTTTCTCCTGTCTCCTTCCCCTTTAACCACAATTGGTCCTTCCTCCCCTCCCTTCTTGTTATAAGGGAGTTTTTCCTTCCAGCTTTTGCCTAGTGCTTGCTCATAGGGATCATCTGATTGTTAAGGGTTTGTAGGGTCTTTACGTTTAACTATAAGGTGCTTTGAGGTAGTTTTACTTATAGAGAACAAGTCACAACAACAGCTGAGTAAACTGACCAGAAATAACAAGAACAAAAGTGTTTCAAATACATCTTTCTTTCATTCATCTATTGCAAATGATTATTCTGCCACACAACAGTACACACTGCAACGAGCCACCATCACACAAATGAAGTGACTTCCCGTAAAACGTTCACCATAGTAACACCAAGAATGGTATGCTGTAAATCTGTCCGAGCGAAAGAAGAGGAAAGACAAGAGGAAAGGTAGTAGCCCCTGTGTCTGTCCAATTCATGTCTTTAGAAAACAGACGAGAGCAGCAAAACACACCATAAATGCTACACTGATGTCACCATTTGCTCTGAAAGTAGAGCAAAAAAGGTAAAGTTCAGACACCGTGCCTATTATATTACCCCAGAGATGTGGGGCCAGAGTTGAGAAATGGAGTGATGGGCTCTGTGTACTCATGCAGACACAAAGACACGCATCATATATACATCTCTCTTACACATGTGCATGCCTTCTCTCTCTCCAAAGACACCAGAAGTACCCTTCAACGTAAAGCATGTTGTCCTACAAAAGAGAGCAACTCCTCCCCTCTGAGGCAGAGCAAATTGAGATAGGGTTTACATTAATGGGTTTGAAAGGGGAGAAAAAGCACCGCAAGGTAAGTTTAAGGGGAGGCTTCTTCTATATGTGGGTTAGCCTATATTTTTACAAAATGATTTTCTGGGTGAAAACCTGCACTCCTGCTGTAAGGTCTCTTCTCCTTCCTCTGTTCAGGTTATGTTTACACTCAAACTCACAAGAAAGCATGATAAGCCATCGCTGTCTAGACTCTGAAAGATAAGAGTTCTCAAAGTGGATACTACTGAAACTGCGTTACCATGGTTCTCTGGGGATCTACAATACAAATAACGTACATTTTTTCCCCGATTATCTGCTCCCTCTGACATGTCAGAACATGTCTGGTTTTTCCAAACAATGCTTTACTGGAGTGAACAGATTATCCCTTTGTGAGCTCTCTCAAAATAGCCATCAAGGTCATCAGAGCAAGCGCTGCTTTTGATGGAAATCTACAAAAAGGGATGTCTTGAGCAGGACGACTCAGGGAGCATATTGAGCCTAATGCATCTGCTGCGGAAATACCTTAGTAGGATGAAGGCGAAGCAAGTTGGTGTCTGAGACCGTTTGGGCCTTGTTTTTGTGGATGGTTCAATAGCTATGCTGCAATGAGTCGCTGTGATGAAGGGATCTGATCAATACTGGGTCTCGAGGGCAACAGTGCAGGCAGCAGAGCGGACTGATGCTCTGTAGGCTGCGCAATGCTGAAATAACTGGGCCAGCATCAGCAGCGTGGCTAATGATGTGAATTCATTTCAGTGGTAAAATAGGCACTAATTTCAAAAGTACTAGTAGTCAGCTGTCACTGAAACAGATGCTCATGCACACCGGTGAACATATAATCAACGATTTTGATGACAAAAAGTGGACAAATCAAGTAAAACAGTCAGTAGTTCAAGAGTTTTGAACAGTTATACAAAACAACCATATATTCTCTGTATCTCCGAATGCCTGTTTTCAACTTTCATCTGATGTTTTTAGTGTAAAAAAATCAAAAATGTAATGAATAGATTGCATGACACAAATGTTACAGAGTTAGGCTACGTTCACACTGCAGGCGAAAGCGCATCAAATCCGACTTTTTTTGACCCTATGCCAGCGGTCCCCAACCATTTTTACGCCACGGACCGGTTTATGCCCAACAATATTTTCATGGACCAGCCTTTAAGGTGTCGCGGATAAATACAACAAAATAAAACTAGTACCGGTACCGAAAAAAAGAACATTTATTCATAACACACGTAAAAAGACCGAGGAAAACCGAGTAAACGATAAAAACGATAACAAAATAACGCTGAAAACCGATAAAAACCCTGAAAACTCTCGCGGCCCGGTACCAAACGACTCACGGACCGGTACCGGTCCAAGGCCCGGGGGTTGGGGACTGCTGCCCTATGGGACCCATATCCGATCATGGTATGACAGTGTGAACAGCACAAATCCGATCTGGGTCACTTTCGTATGCGGTACTGAATCTGATATATATCTGATGTTTTAGAAAGCGACTGCTGTTTGAATGGTCAGGTCGCATTAAATCTGTCTTCTACGTCACTGACACAAAACAGTGACGTAGAAGAACAGTGACACTTCTCCGGCGCCAATTATCAGCGCTGGAGAAGCGCCCGATAAGACATTGCGAACGCTTCCTGGCCATCCCGTGTAGATGTCAGTGAAACAGCTGGGAAGACAACGTTGGAGAAACGTGAACATTTTATTTGTACTGTATAATCTGCAGATTCTGACAGAAATCTGCAACTATCCTTTGAAGCACCGCTCCTCTAAAACAGCAAAAAGGATAATTATTAGGCCATATGTAAATAACAAAATAACTTTATAACTTAAAGCAAAATTGGGAAACGTAAAGTCTGAATCAAGTCTTTATATTAAGGGCCATCAGTCAAACAATACTAGTTGGTCTTGGTCTATACAGAGCGCGTTGTGTGTGACCTCTTCTTTTGCGCATGCGGGCCGCTTTGAGGGTTCACATAAGAGCGCGTTTGCTGTCACATTTTATTTGTAGTGTGAACAAGCAGACAAAAAAAATCGGATTTGATCAAAAAATCGGATTTGAGCATTAAGACCTGCAGTGTGAACGTAGCCTTAGTGGCCGTCTCCAAGACTGAAGGGTGCCCCATGTCTCGGTAACCCAGCTACAGTGCACATATAGGATTACTACAGTCATAAGCTACTCCGTGAGCTATTTAAAGTATGCAATACATCTATATAAATCCAATTAATCTGAGCAAACACATTAAGAGACGGGTAAAGCCCCGACACAGATAAATAAAAGGAAACCTGTGAAGAAGTACACATAAGAACAGAGAAAACAGTCTGCTAACACCTCAAACACAACCTTGTCTTTTCTGGCTTCTTCATACACACACAAAACTTGGAGAAAACACGCACACACAGAGCCAGTTCTGGTCCATTAATCATACGCAACCTAGTTCTGCTTCTTGGTACAGATTCATCTCTCGTGTGCCTCTGGCCCAAGGTTGACTTTGCGGTCTCTGTATTTACCTCAGCGTGGTGCAGAGGTCACATGGCGTAGAGGTTTAAATCAGAAGAACAGAGCGTGAGCGTGGGGGATAAAATCTTGAGGTATAAACGCATGCATTGTAAAAATCACATGACCCAACAAATTAAAAAGCAGTCTTTTAAATCTCTCGCAATATAAAATTATAACCTTTCAGCCTCGGACGTTCCCAACATCCAATCCATTAACAAATGGAATGAAATAGGCTCGGGTAACCGAGGCTAATTGTGTTACAAACCACTGACTGTGTAACCCAGCGTCTCAGCATTCTTCCAGCCACACAACAGAGCTGCTCGGTTTAACTGCGAAGTTGCTCGAGTCTGAGAAAGCGGTCTGTAAGCTTTACAGATTTATTTATATAAATTCAGCCAGTCTGGGCTGAGCAAAACCAACTAAGTGCTTTAGTGTTGAAACATAATTCCTTGACTTTTTGCAAATGTCAGTCATAAGCAAGGAAAACAGAAGTGGATTAGAGGACGGAACAGATTTATCCTCTTCTGAATGCAGTGCCTCCTGTTCTGCTGCTACTTACCCAAATACAGAGATGCATTTTCTTTCTTCACATTGTCGTCCAGGTAGGTGGGTCCCAGGGTGTAGATTGGCGTTGACCCCATGCCCACGAGTATCTGGGCACAGATGAACAGTGCCACATACAGGTTGTGCTCATTGCCCTCCTGGTCGCGAGGGCACGATGCCACGTCCAGCAGTTCACGGCCGCTGTTGTTGCTGCTCTGACAAAGGCCTTCGTGGCCCGCTGAGGAGTTCATCTCTTGGATCTGGTAAGGTGGTGAGATGAAGTGGGGAAGGGAAAACAGCGCTGCGCCTACAGCGATCACAACACCCCCCACAGCCAGCCAGCGTGGCCTCTGACCTCTACCGCCGAAGTACGAGATGAAGACGACCACCAGCAAGCTGCCGATGTCGAAGCAGCTGACCAGCAGGCCGGACTCGGAGCTGCGCAGGCTGTAGCGCTTCTCAATGGTGGTGATGACGCTGCTCAGGTAGCCCGAGACCATCAGGGACTGGATGAAGGTCAAGTAGCACATGCAGAACAAGAAGCAGCGCGAGTCGCTCAGGATGACCCGCACATACCTTCTAGCCGGGATGCGGATAAGGCGGGTGATGGAGAATCCAAATTTTCTGCCACCGGAGCCTTTGGCCCTGTGGCCCTCCACAGGCAGGGAACTGCTGAGCCCCACCATACTGGACATAGAGGGGGAGAAGTCTGTTCTGGAGGAGGGGGATTCTTCCTGGCTGGAGTCTGGGGTTTTAGGATGAAGCCCGCAACTGTCCTCTAGGGCCACACAAGTGTGGGCTGTGCTGACCAGCCGAGGCTCAGCAGCCTTGCCACCCTGTTGACAAGGTTCATTCAGGATTGGTAGACTTTTGGACTTGAAGCAGTTCTCTGGCTCCATGTATTGGTCCTGGAGCTCACAGATCTCCAGAGACTCGGACATATCACTCCCAGTTTCATCATTGTCCAATGAAGCCATGGCGCAGCTGGAGTTTCAGCTTCAGTCGGCCCCTGGCTGCGCTGACAAGTCTGCCAGTCAGTAACTAGTGCCACATGAGGACAGTGTAGAGCTGCTGCAGGGCTGTGCGCTGGAGAAAGGACTGCCCTGTCAGTGATACTGAGGCAGACTGAACTCCTCTAGTTATGTGCATGTTTTATTCCACATCCCCACTCACAGCAGCACCGCTCTGTCACAAGCAGCCTCCCTCAAAGCAAAACATCAGACTCCTAATATGCTTACAAGATACAAAAAAATCCTGATAGCGGTAGCTCGACTGAACACGGAAAAACATCACCTTCTTGAACTAAAAACCTGAGGTCATCAACAGAGTTATGTGTTGACAACACATTTCCTAGATGACTAGAATGTAATCAATAACAAAAAGATGCTGTCACAATGATTTTCTTATCTAGGATCCCATGTTGATTTTGATTTTATGGCTCTTTCTTAGATGGCAAAATTGGTTCAAAGCTTCTGTTGTTTCCTTTGTTCCCTTGCTGTGCAGCATCCTAGAAAAACAATACAAAAAAAGGGGGGTTAAGAAAAACATAATTAAGTATAGCTACTTCCAAAGTGGATACATTTATACAGGCCTAAATACAAAATACAGCCCTTTCCTCTTATGTCAGTTTGGTATTACAGTACATCTACACAGGATTATACCAGTCGCCTTGTAAAGCTTAACTGCTACACAAGACTGGAGAATATTTCATAACAAAAAATAATAATAAAATAACCCACACTAGCAAACACTGGTGTCAAGCTGCCGAGGCGGTTAGGCAAAATAAAAACCCAGCTCTCCTTTGTCAAAACGAGAAATATAGCTAGAGAACAAAAGACCATGCTGTCCACAAACGTCTCAGTCATGACTTTGAAAAGAAATAAAACCCCCGATTCAACCGCGAGAGAAATATTACTGTGCTGAAGCTTAAAAGAAATCTGACCTCGAGGCTAAACGACAAGTTAATATTTATTATAACTTTAACGAAGGGCTCAGAGGCTGGAATACTCACACAGGACTGAGGGAGGTAGCCTGTTGTTCTACACGGAGCAGCCACACAGTGAATGAATCTGTGTGTGATGCGGAGGGGCTGCTACTGCTGGGGATGCTTTCAAATACGGTCGGAAATCATATAACGCAGAGATTAGAGCCTGAAACAGTGCAGGAAAAAAATATAAAATGTTTTTCATTTTTTATAACAAAAACTCGTAAAATGGAAAACGCGCTAGAACTGCATGTTTGATATGACTATAAGGATTTTCTTGTTCGAAGTGTAGACTTAATTGAAGATTTACATGTTTTAAAGTCCATAAGTGAAATTAGTGCTTTGTTTTTTAGCTCTGGGATATTGCAGTTCTCGGCCTGCGTCCTGCGGTTTTTCACCTCGAACATTAATCGTAAGGCTGATTATCTTTTTCACAGTTTTCCAACTGTGACGGTACAAATCCAACGCGGCTACAGCAATTTGAACGCCCCAGATTGTGTTTTTCCCACACCAGCCATACTGGGATTTGTAGTTTATTTCCGTAAGCCCAACCTACGTCCATTTCTTTGTTTTATCGTAGAAATAATTGACTTCAGTAACGAAGCTACTTTCTGACATAAACTACATCTGCTACTCAAGTAAATTCTCCGAAATGTAAATTTTCTTTCTCTTAACTTAAATTGCACTGACACTGTGACTTCATGTACCAGCATGCTTGTCAGTCCATATGGTCACTGGTTTAGTGCACTACGTCATGTGGACAGCTGGGACCCTTGCTGACATAGCAGTGATTGACTGGGATTGACAATGGCCTCTGAGCTTGCCACACTCTCTGAAGCCATAAATTTAAAGCAACATCAAGCGTAGTCATTTCATTTCTTTGAGACCACTGCTCCTACCACCCTGTCAATGATGAAACGGCCTCCAGGGATGCGCTGCAGTAAACACTGCAAATGACATAACATCCTCATCTTTGGACAAAAATGTTTTAACCTTATATTAAGAAACACAAACAATACACAATAGAGATTCATTAATGTAAATTATGAAACTTGCCTTTTGAGGAGGACAATGTAAATGTCTCATGACATATATTGATATTTCTCAAGAGGAATGCAACACCACTTCCACTCATAAAAAATGAGATTGTAAAATACATTTGTTCATTTTTCACTTGTAAATGTAGATATTAAATGTAAAACATCTGGGCTGAAGGCTTTCCTTTTTTAGAGACTAGAGGCTGGCCTGTCAGAAAGATGGATCGCTATGCTGGTGGTCATTAATTAATTTCCTGGTCTACAAGCTACATCGGTCCTTTCCTCCTCTCATTCG